CAGATACACTTCTTTGCACGTCCTACCTTCTAGTAAGTCGTTGCTTCTCTGTTCAGAGAGTTGTTGCTACTCTCTTCTTCGATCTCCTGTTGCATTTGTAGGTGTTCAGAATGGTTTGATCCCTATTCAGCTGAATTCCGAGACCAGATGAAATCCAGCTCTCCTACTCCTCCACCATCTTGCTCCTCTTCCTTTGTTTTTGAGTAAATGTTATTTATTCTTCTTGTGAGGAGGAGTGATGTTAGGAATGACCCATGTTATCATCTTGGTGACATCATTTTATTTTGTGCATTTCTATTGCCACATCACACTGTGGGCTATTTGTGCTCTCTTTACTACTAGAAATAGATTAAGTGATCTCTTTAAATTTAATAAAATTAGAGAACTAACTCCAGGAGTTCTAGAACCAACTGAGACAATTCAGCCTTAAGATTCTGTTCTTCCAGAACCACTCCCAGTATCAAAATTTGTAGTAGTCAGATTCTCCAGAGAAACAGAACCAACAGGGGACATATATATGTATATGCATTTATATATCTCCCTTTGCTTCTCTCTCTCTCTCTCTCTCTTTCTCTCTCTATTTTAAGGAATTGGCTCATGCAATTTTGGGAAATGACAAATCTAAAATTCACAGGGCAGGTCCATGGGATAGAGATTTAGGTAAGAGTTGATGTTTTAGTCTTTAGTCCAAATTCCAGAGGGCAGGAATCTGGAAAATCATGCAGGGCTTCTATCTTGCAATCTTGAGAAGAATTTCTTCAGGGAGCCTGAGTCTTTTCTCTTAAGGTCTTCAAGTAATTAAATGAGACCAACCACATTATGAAGGATAATCTGTTTACTCAAAGTTTACCAATGTAAATGTTAATCACACCTAAAAAATACCTTTACAGTAATATTTGAACTGATATTTGACCTGACAATTGGACACTGTGGGCTAGTCAATTTGATACATAAAATTAACTATCACAGATAGGAAACTATATGTTTGTTATCTTTCCACTCAAAAAGTATTTAGAAATAGGTATGAAAGAAATCTTCATTGTTAATTAATAAATAATCTGTTGCTTATCAATTTAACTAGAACATTGTAAAAGAGATCATATAAGTTTTGTTGCAGTACTTAGTTTCTATAATTATGAGAACTAAAGCACATTTAAAAATTATTTTTTAAGATTTATTTTATTTATTTTAGAGAGAGAGAGAGAGCACAGACGGGGGAAGGGGAGAGGGTGAAGGAAGAGAAACACAAGCAACTCTGTACTGAACACAGAGCTTGACACAGGGCTTGATCTCATGACCCTGAGATCAGACCTGAGTGAAAATCAAGAGTCAGATGTTCAACTGAGTGTGCCACCCAGGTACCCCAGAGCTTAAGCACATTTTATCTTTAGAAAAAAGTTTGTGACCACTGGAAACTAGATTATGAAAAATTTCTATTCTTTGTGGGATATGATAGTGTGGCTTCCCCCTCCCCTCTTCATTCCGTATGTGCCAAAAACTTAAAAATCTTTATTAGAAAAAAGTGTGAAGGAAGATGAAATAGAAAGCAAATTTAGAATCTAATGACAAGTTGATCTCAAACCCCTCACCTGTCTAACTTCTTTTCTTAAGCAATCATATGTTCCCTCTGGGAGCATATGCATGCAGTGTATGTCTTTTTCTTTCCCTGTCCTTTATTTGAAAACCTATCTAGAAGGGATTTTGGAATAGCAATGAGGAAGGAGCTGCCAAGTTTGGTGATTCATTTCTATGTAGCCTAAGGCCATTTGTATCTCCAGGAGCCCACATCATTTATGGCTGTTTCTTCATTTTCTGTGCAGCTCTTTCTCCAGGAAACATAGCGAAAATTTGGTGGAAAAATGTGGAAAAGTAAGAGTATAAGGAATGAAAAAAACAAAACAAAACAAAACAAAACAACAAAACACAACAACCCACTATATTCTGGTAAAGCAAGTCAGTTATTATAGGTTTTGTGAAAACTCTTGTAATTGTGAAAACTTTTGTAAGCCCAAATTCCCCAATAAATACCAAAGGAGGTTGGCAAGACAGCTTTTAACTGTGTGACTGGAAGATGAAGAGAACTATAAACACACAGATCAAAGACTTCCTTGGCTGGTTTGAGGGGGGGGGGAAATTCTTTTGTCTGTGTGTTTTGGGGAAGAATGAGTTGGCTACAATCAGGAAATTGAATGGTGAGATTTAAGAGCTTATTAGCAGAAAGACGTGAAAATATATAAAAGTTATACCCTCTGGAATCATGTTTTCCAAACAGAATTGACATCTAATTTTGAATCCCAGGTCCCCTTCCCATCTAATTTCTTGATCATGAGGTGGACTATGGGAAACATCCATGAGTTGAAAGTCCATGTGCCTGGTTTCTAATTTGAGTTCTGACTGGAAATCACTGTGAAACATGGTAAAATGTGAAGAACAAGTGGGAATGATTTTTAGCTCTCTGATCCTGAAAAAACTAGTGTCCTTCTATGCTTCAGCTTTGTCAGTTCCAAAGTTAGTAGTTGAGACCACATGAGTTTCAAGACCCCATGAAATAGATCTCATCTATGTCTATGATTCAACATTTGGAAGAGTCAGGCATCAGGTTCTGGACATTGTGTGTTGGTCCGTTCTCCGTCCTTTCCTGCTCTTCTTCACTGGGTCGGACAAACCCTTGGGTAATGCCAAATAATTTCCACTTACTGTGTCCATGCCTTTGTGTTATTTCTTCCCCTTGATGTAGGTTTAACCTGTGACTTCCTTCTAAACAAAAGAGTATGGTAAGGTGAGAGATTCTTCTTTCCATGCTGTGTTGTATAAGACTCTACCTTAGCAGAATGGAGCTAGAAATTCCCCTTGCTGGTGTTGGAGAAATAAGTTACCATGTGGTGGGAGGCCTGTGAAAGGTCATATGGGAGAGAACTCTAGTAGCTGAGAATGGACATTGGCCAACACCCAGAAATACCCAGAGAAAGTAATTCAGCCAACAACCTGAAGGAAGTAAATATTTCCCCAGTAGAACCTTTATGACAGCCCAGCCCTGGCTGACAGATAGATGGCAACCTGGTGAGACCCTGAACCAGAGAATCCAGCTAACCTATGTCTAGGCCTGTGACCTGCAGAAAGTGTAAGATAGCAAATATATATTGTTTTAAGTTGTTTGTGTGTGTTAGTTTCTTATATAGTAAGACATTCCAATATAGTCAGTTTTCTTTGTGCCTCACTTGGAATGGGCTCCCTTCTCTCTGGCTTCCAACTGGTTCATTCAATGGGAGGCACCAGGATATAAGAAGATGACAGGTGAGTGAAGTTGGGGTAATAATTCTCATTCGTCCACTCCTCCCTTTGCTTCATACAGAGGAAGCTGCCCTCAGGCCTCCCTCTTGGAGTCAGGAACCATTTACTTCCTTTGCCCTGTCAGGTTCACCTGACTGCTATTACTAGTCCTAGGGTACCTTACTATTTTTTATGTTTTCCCTATACCATGACCACACTTTTGTAACTAGCCCCTTTACCAACTCTTTCCAAATAGCCAAAATAGATGAGTCATCTGCCTCCTGATGTGCCCTACTGGTGTTAGAAACCTTCAAGAACAAAAAAAAAAAAAAAAAAAAAAAAAAAAAGAAAAGAAAAGAAAAGAAACCTTCAAGAACAACCATTGCATGAGATTATTTTCCTGCCCCCAACAAATACAATGAGGAAAAATGAAATTAAAGTATCCATGACAGATACCTGTTGTGCTTATAGACTGCTGGATAATAAACTACTTTTATGGACAACTCTGAAACATTTCCCTGGGATTTGAAAAGTAGAGGCCTGTGTCTTCCAGGAATGGAGACTAAATTGGGCCATTCCTGCAAGAGAATCAATGAATAAGAAACTTCTAAATTAATGTGCCATTTATACTTGTGTAGTGAAAACTGGGTACATGAGAGGTTTCCACAGCTTCCAGAAAAAGAGGAAAAGGGAAGAAACTGACACTCATGGATTCCGTTTGGTGCTCTATGGGAAATGAGCTCGTTCCATGCCTGCCATTGTGATGGGATGTCTCATTTTGTATTATCTTGGTTACTGCTGTCACTTATTGAGCATCAATTATGCATTAATAGTATGACACAATAGTACCTGCTTAGTCCTCACACAGGTCTGTAGAGATGAGGTGGTTGAAGTTCAGTGAGGTGATTCAAGTTCACAAAGTGAGTATTTGACAAAACCTCAATTTGAACTCACTTGTCTGATTCACACTTTGTGCTCAATACCCTGAACCAGTTCACATTGTTGCAGATTTCATCCAAAGAAAGTGAGAGCTTAAATTAGGGCTTGTATTTGAAATGGAAGACTATTATTTATTCATAAAGACAATGGTTTAAGTCCCAGCAGAAGCTAATTGAAAAAATAATGTTCCTTTGATATAGAAATGTAAATAGGACCTTGGTTTATGAACATACCCATCATTCTTTCCTGTTGCATGAAATGAGCTGAGATGTATGTATCCTTTAGGTTTGTCATGTACATTAACAGAAAACATGCATTGAGCCCATTTTGTGTCCTTTTATCATGATGTTTATTGACTCAAGGGGGAAATTGTTGCTTATTAAGCTTCACATTAATTAGAAATCCAATAACCCATTAAGACATGATTTAATTTTGCAACTGCTTCCAATGGCAGAGTGTTTTGCTGTTATTTTTGCTAATTTAAAAAAAATTTTTTTTCTCCAATTGGGTATCTACAATGAAACAAAGCCTCTGGACTCTTTCATATGGAGGCTGAGAAAGACATATCCCATATTAACATCTCATCACAAGCACTCTGAGATTTTAGGACATATGCTTAACTGTGGTGGCAAACAGATTATCCTACACTCATTCTAAATCCAGGAGTGATTGTTTTCTTTCTGTTATGCTTCTCCCCTTCCCTTCTGTATCCCCAAAGAATGAAGCCCAATGGCATTGGTGTGATTTTTGGCATGAGTGGCTGATGCTTACTCTATCATAGGTGTTTGTCTCAACAGGTATCAATGGATTCTGGAAGAATCTATGGCACAGCTCTCTGGGAAAAGGGTATGTTGATTCCTGGCTCCCCGGGGAATTTCATCCAGGAATTTAGGGGCTATGTTTTTCCAGAACACTGAGGACAAAGATAACACATATAGGCTTCCCTATGATATTTATAGTATGGCTTGAGGTAAAAGGTACAATGGTTAATTTATCAAAAAACTTCCATTGATTTCTAGGGGAGATGGCAGAGTTGGAAGAACCTAGGCTCACCTCATTTCATGGATACAACTAGAGAACACTCAGGAAATGACCTGAAGACTGGCTGAATAAACTCCAAAACTAAATGTAGGGAAGAGGCCACAATGAAAACGGTAGGAAGGGCAGAGACGTGATTGGGACCTAAATGGACTGACAGGACTGTCTACAGGTGGGAGGGACATTCTGGGCACAGAGAGGGAGAGAAACAGACTCCCACACCAGGGTGCCCAAAAAGGGGAAGATAAATCTCCATAATGTTTGGCTTTGAAAACCAGAGGGGCCTGATTTCATGAGTTATTACAACCAGCAGGATTTAAAACCTGGAATTTATAAAAATCTCTGGGACAGACAGTGGGTGAGAGGAAACTGAGTCTCCACCTGTAAAGAGCACAACAAATAGCCCATGGAAATACAGCATATAAGCAGCAGTCTGAAAGGTATGTGGGGCACACTGGGAGGGAGAGTTACTTACTCACCTCAGAGCCTATCCCAGAGGGACAAAAATCCCTGGGGAACTCTTCCAGGAACAAAGGAACTGGCAGACACCATTTCCCTCCCCTGCCTCCCAGCTTAAACATGGCACCTGAGGGATGGCTACCTCTTGGTTAATACTGCTGCCCCACCCCCACAAGCAGTGCTTCCTGATCCACCCTTCTGGAAGGCCTGCCTCAGTCCCCTGTGGCAAGGCCCCTCCAGTAGAGGAACCACTGCACTTCAGTCCTGGTGCTACAAGACCCCTCCTGCAGAGGACCCAGGGTGTGCAAAGTTTGCTAGCACTGCCATCCCTCCCCCCTGTACTCTGCTTCCAAGGATCCACCCCTTCAGATGGTGCCTCCTCAGTCCCTGTGCTGCAGGGGTCCTACCTTAGCACCCAAAGCTTGTTAGCATTGCTGCCCCTCTGCACCACTCCCACATGCTGTGTATTGGGGATCCACCCTTTCTAATACACCTTTGGCCTGAGCCCGTACAGGGCAGTGTTGCAGACCTGGCAGAGTCATAGCATCTCCAACAGTGGGCAGCACCACTCCACTCTCAGAGAGAGAGAAAGATAACCACACACACCAATCAGAGAGAGGCTCCAGCAATGGGCTGGAGGCAGACAACTGGTCTGACTGCAGGCCCCACCAACCAATGAAAGCTTCTCAGGGGAAAGCACCCTGCAGTTTGGTGCTACTGCATCTCTGGCAAATGCCTGGTCTGACTCATCTCAAGCCCCAGGTATCCCCAATTTGGCCCACTAACACCACAGGGACAAAACACTGCCCACAAAAGGCAAAGAGAGCCATTGCAGACAACTGGACTGAAGGAAAAAGCAGTTCAGTCAAAGAGCAGGGAACATGCATCACATATAGCAGACACCCTGAAGCGTTAGTTCTGGTGAATAGGGAACACTACACACCAGGGCACTACAGGACCTCTTCTTCATAAGGCCACTACTTGCCAGTGCATGCAACATAGCTGTCTTTCCTGACACACAGAAGCAGACACAGAGAGGTAGATAAAATGGGGAGACAGAGGAGTATGTCCCAAATGAAAGAACAACAAAACAATGGCAAGAGACATAAGTGGAATTCTGATAGAGAATTTAAAGATATTGGACTTGAGAAAAGAATTGAGGGCATCAGTAAGATTCTTAAAAAAGAGATGGAAAACATTAAAAAAAACAATCAGAGATGAAGAACTCAATAAATGAAATTAATAATACATTTGATGGAATAAATAGCAGACAAGAGCAAGCAGAGGAACAAATTAATGACATGGAAGACAGAGTAATGGAAATTAATAAGCTGAGCAAATGACAGAAAAAGACTTATGCAAAAAGAGAATAGATTTAAGGAGTCAGTGACTACATTGAGCACAATAACATTCATATTATAGAGATTCCAAAAGAAGAGGGAGAGAGAGAAAAGGGGACAGAAAATTTATTTGAAGAAATGATAGTTAAAAACTTCTCCAATCAGGAGAAGGAAATAGATATCCAAATCCAAGAAGCACAGACATTCCCCCAACAAAGTCAACCTAAGAAAGTCCACACCAAGACACATAGTAATTGAAGTGGCAAAAAGTGTGGTTAAAAAAAAAATTCAAAGCAGCAAGACAACTTGCATACAAAGGAAACCATAAGGTTATCAGATTTTTCTGCAGAAACTTTGTAGACCAGAAGAGAATGGCATGATATTTTCAAAGTGCTGAAAGGAAACTAACCTGCAGCCAAGAAGACTATCCAGCAAGGCTCTTATTCAGCCTAGAAGGAGAGATAAAGAGTTTCTTAGACAAAAGCTAAAAGAGTTCATGTCCACTAAACTAGCACTACAAGAAATGATAAAGGGGACTCTGAATGGAGAGAAAGACGAAAAATAAGAGTAAGAAAAGTAGGAAATATTGTGAGAGACTCTGGACTCTGGGAAACAAACTGAGGGTTATAGAAGACAGGGGTTGGGGGGATGTGGTAACCAGCTGATGGGTATTAAGAAGGGCACATGTTGTGATGAGCACTCGGTGTTATACACAATGAATGAATTGTTGAACACTACATCAAAAACTATGATGTACTATATACTGGCTAACTGAACATAAATAAATAAATAAATACATACATACATACAAACAGTAAAAGTATATCTGTACAAATCAGTCAAGGATTCACAAAATAAAAGGATGTAAAATATAACACCATATATCTAAAATCTGGAGGGGGAGAGGAGTAAAGAATGGGTTCAAACTTAAGCAACCATTAAGTTAATATAGATGTTATATGCAGAAGTTGTTATATACAAACATAATGGTAACCAGAGATCAAAAACAAATAATAGATATGCAAAAAATAAAGTGAAAGGAATCCAAGTATATCACTAAAGAAAATGAGCAAATCATGAAAGAGAGTAAGGGAAAAAAAATCAGAGAAACTACAAAAACAACCTCAATACAAGTAACAAAACGGCAATAAATACATATCTATCACTAATTACATTGAATGTAAATGTATTAAAGACTTCAATAAAAATACATAGGATGACAGAGTGTATAAAACACCAAGACTCTTCTACAAGAGATTCATTTCAGACCTAAGGACACCTGCAGCTCAAAAGTGAGGGGATTGAGAAGAACTTATTATGCAAAGTGATGTAAAAAGAAAGCTGGGGTGACAATACTTATATTGGACACAATAGACTTTAAAACAAAGACTGTAACAAGAGACAGAGAACACTTTATAATAATAAAGAGGACAATCCAGCAGAAGATATAACAATTGTAAATATTTATGCACCCAACATGGGAGCACCCAGATACATAAGATAGTTAATAACAAATAAAAAGGAACTATTCAATAATAATAGAATTTAGTAAGGGAGTTTAATACTTCACTTACATTGATGGACAGATCATCCAAACAGAAAATCAACAAGGAAACAATGGCTTTGAATGACAACTAGACCAGGTGGATCTAACAGATATATTCAGAACATTCCATCCTAAAAAGCAGAATATGCATCCCTTTCAAGAGGAAATGGAACATTCTCTAAAATAGATCACATATTAGGCCAGAAAACAACTCTCAACAAATTTAAAAAGATCAAATTCATGTCATACATCTTGCATCTTTTCTAACCACAATGCTATGAAACTAGAAATCAACCACAAGAAAAAATTGAGAAAGAGCACAAATACATGGAGATTAAATAACATGCTACCAAACAATAAATGGGTCAGCCAAGAAATCAAAGAAGAAAAAAAATACATGAAAACACAATGCTTTAAGTCTGTGGAATGCAGCAAAAGTAGTTTGAAGAGGGAAATTTATAGCACTATAAGCCTACCACAAGAAGCAAGAAAAATCTCAAATAAGCAACCTAACTCTACAACTAAAGAGCTGGAAATACAACAACAACAACAACAACAATCCAAACCAGAAAAAAGGAAATAATAAAGATTAGAGCAGAAATAAACGATATAGGGACACCTTGGTGGCTCAGTCGGTTGGATGTCTGACTCTTGATTTTGGCTCAGGTCATGATCTCAGGGTTGTTAGATTGAGCCCAGCATTGAGCTCTGCCCTGTGTGTGGAGTCTGTTTGAAATTCTCTTTCTGCCCTTCCCCTTTGCTTGTGCTCTCCCTCACTCTCTCTCACTAAGAGAAAGAAAGAAAAAGAAAGAAAGGAAGGAAGGAAGGAAGGAAGAAAGGATATAGAAATTAAAAACAAAACAAAACGGTAGACTAGATCAATGAAACCAGCAGATGGTTCTCTAAAAAAATCAACAAAGTTGATACACCTCTAGTCAGACTCATGAAGAAAACGTAAAAGAGGAAGGACTCAAATAAACATGACAAATGAGAGCAGAGAAATAACAACCAACACCACAGAAATAGGAACAATTATAAGAGAATATTATAATATTAAGATTAATTGATAAAAATTATATGCCAACAAATTGGACAACATAGAAAAAATGGGTAAATTCCTAGAAACATATAACCTACAAAACTGAAGCAAGAAGAAATACAAGGTTTGAACAGACCTATTACTAACAAGGGAATTGAATCTGTACTCAAGAAACTCCCAAAAAACAAAAGTCCAGGACCAGATGGCCTCACAGAAAAATTCTACCAAACATTCAAAGAAAAATCAAAACCTATTCTTCAAACTATTCCAAAAAATAGACTAGGAAGAAGAACTTTCAAATTCACTTTATGAGGCATTACCCTTTACCAAAACCAGATAAAAACACTACAAAAAGAGAACTATAGGCTAATATCTCTGATGAATATAGATGCAAAGATCCTCAACAAAATACTAGCAAATTGAATTCAACAATACATTTAAAACAAAAATACTCATCAGAAGCAAGAGAGATTTCTTTTCAGGATGCAAACGTGGTTCAATATTTGCAAATCAATCAACGTGATACATCACATCAATAAGAGAAAGATAAAAACCCTATGATCACTTCAAGAGATGTAAAAAATATCATTTGACAAAGTACATTAATTAATGATAAAAACTCAACAAAGTAATTTTAGAGAGAACATATCTCAACATAATAAAGGTCACATATGAAAAAAAACATAGTTAACATCATTGTATATGAGGAAAAACTGAGAGCTTTTTCCCTAA